CTGCAGATACAGCTGCAACAGATGCTGCAGTTGCTGCTGCAGTTGCTGCTGCAGTTGCTGCTGCAGTTGCTGCTGCAGTTCCTGCTGCTGCAGTTGCTGCTGCAGTTGCTGCTGCAGTTGATGTTGCTGCAGTTGCTGTTTCTGCAGTTGCTGCTGCTGCAGTTGCTGCTGTTGCAATTTCTGCTGCAGTTGCTGCTGCAGCTGCTGCTGCAGTTTTTGCTGTTGCTGCTTCTAATTGCTGCTGGCGTTCTTTTGTTTTCGTCTTTTCTCTCTGCCTGTGTGTTGATGAGCAAATAGTAAAGGAGACAAAAGAATGAAGAAAGGAGACAGCATAAGCCGATAACTTTCAGGGGCCTCCTTCAGCGCTTAAAGACAAACTTCTGTAGATCCTGCTGCTGCTGTTGCTGCTGTTGCTGCTGTTGCTGCTACTGCTGCTGATGTTGCTAGCGCTGGTTGTGCTGCTGCAGCTGTAGGTTATGTGGCTTCCGCTGCTGGTGTTGCTGCAGCTGCTGCTCCTGCTGCAGCGTGTGTTATTGCTGCTGGTGGTGCTTCTGTTGCTGTCGTGGCTGTTGCTGCTGTTGCTGTTGCTGCTGCTGCTGCTGCTGCCTTCGGGCGCCTGTAGCTGGAAGCCTTGACTAGCGTTTTGTATATATATAAATAGAGATAAGAAAGAAGTATAAGAAGAGAACTAAAATAATATATTATAATTTAAACTAAATAAACAGAAAAATTCGCGCAAATAGAGACTATAAAGCTGCTCCCTGTACCGCACACAGGGAAAGGCTCTAGGGTTAGGGTTTAGGGTTTAGGGTTTAGGGTTTGCATAGGCAGCTTGCTGCTGCTGCTAGAAGGCGGATAAATAACTACGTACAGCCGCATGCAGCTTCACAATGAGGTAAAGAGGAAGTAAACAAAGAAGAAATATATTTACACAAAACAACAACTGCAGCAAACTGCAGCTGTCTGTACACCCGAGCTGCGAGCGGCGGTCTCTGAATGCATGCAGAGCAGAAAGGAAATGAAGTAAGAAATATTAAACTTAAATTAATATTCAAAGGAATATCTTCTTTGTTTTCAATATATTATAATGTAGAAAGAAACACAACGCCGTTATCAGCAGCAGCAGCAGCAACAGCAGCAGCAGCTTCCTGTTCCTGCTGCTGCTGTTCCTGCTGCTGCTGATGCAGCAAGCACGGGTATATCGAGACGTTTATCCTCATCTTAACTTCTTTACTATTTCTGCAGCAAATATGCAAAATTATTTAATATTAATATTATTTTTACCAATTATATTTTTATATTTTTAGTTTATTGCTCAGAAAAAGAAGAAAAATATATTCAGAGCCTCAGATCAACTGCAGCAGCAACATCGATGAGTACAGCAGCGGGAGATTTCTTCGCTGTTTGCTGAGAAAATATTAAATAAATTTTAATTAATTTAAATTAATTATTATTTGTTTAAGTTTAATTTATTTATTTTCTTTTTCTTAATATTTTATTGCAAGCATTTGATGCATGTATACATACAGTCGCCTCAATGTTGAAGGCAACAGCTTTATGAAAGAGGAGACAGAGAAAAAAGAAATAAATAAATAAATAAATAATCAGATAAACAATTAATTTATTTATTTATTTGTTAAACTCAGTTGTTAACAAATACTTTAAACAAATCATCAAACTATTGTTTCGTGCTTTTCTTCTCTTAGTTTAGTACACTGCCTGCTGTTGCTGTTGGCTGCCTCTAACCCTAAACCCTAAACCCTAAACCCTAAACCCTAAACCCTAAACCCCAAACCCTAAACCCTAGCCACCAACAGCCATTTTGAAAGTACGTTTCTTTCTGAATATGTTTAGGTTTGCTGTGGTGAATGCACAGCGATAAGATCTCCTACCCTAAACCCTAAACCCTAAACCCTAAACCCTAAAACCTCAACCCTCGGGAATGTTGAGAAGAGGTGTATATACACCGAGTGGGGCTGTGGGGTTTGCTGCATGCACAATAAAATGCTGCAGAAAAAGAAATATTTCTTCTCTTTGCTGCTCATTCAAACTGCTGCACAGCGACGAGAAGCAGCAGACCTTTAATGTTTGTTTTCTGTTTATTTTTTATATTTTGTTTGCTTGTGTTTCTGCTTTATGCTTATTGCGTTTTTTTTATTCCTTTTCAGGTTAGATGTCTTCGTACGATGTTTAGCTTTTGTATTTTTTGTCTAAGCATTTTATTTTTTGTTTTGTTTTATCCTTATATATATATATATATATATATGTATAAATATATACATACATATACACATGGGCATATACATGTATATCTATAAATATATATACGCATATATATATATATATATGTATGTATATTAACAGCAGAAAGCATATAGATATTCGTACGCTTATGTATATAATATATGTATATATATATATATATATATTATATTTATTATATATTATATATATTATATATATGTATATATATCACCCAACCAGGTGTACGTACACCGAACGAAGGAAGTTGTGCTTCCCGTTTAATTAAATTATAATTAAATAGTTCTGCGATATTTTGTTCTCGGGCAAGAAGATGTTCAACACAACTAAAACATTTTTTCTTCTTGCGTACGTACACCGCAAGAAGGAGCTCTGAGCATTTATTTAAGAAGAAGAATTTAAAATAATAATCCAGAAGCAGAAGTTTAATTATTTAAAGAGATATATCCAGACGCAAGCATGCATGCAAAGACATAGTCGTTAGTAGCAAATTATATCAGCAGCACAGGATTATTCGCATGCATGCATGCATGCATGCAAGCATGTATAAGTTTAGGATGCCGCCCTAAAATACTGTTCTATAGAAATTAATATATAATATATGGATATGCATATGTTGCAGCTAGGAGCTCCCTCTCATAGGCAACGCTAATGAAAGCGTAAGCAAAGGGTTTAAAATGAGAATAAATGCATAATTAAACTTCTCAGTCTGCTGTACAGACTCAGTAAACAGCAAATAATAAAAAATAAAATAAAAAGAATAATTGAGGATGCTGAGGTGAGGAGATGGGGTTATTTGAAGTATAAACGCAAAATTCTAATAAATAATAAATAATAATTTAATATTTTAATTAGGTAATTAATAATGTTATATATATTTCTTTTTACATACGTCTCCTTAGAACAAACAAAATGCATGCAAGTGTAGTCGTAGGGGGTATTATAGTAAAGGAAATGATGGAGTCTCAGGAGTACTTCACTGATTTATGTGAATAAAAATAAATAAAAATAAATATTTTATATTCAAAAATATGCAAAAATATGCAGAAAATGCTTCAGGATTTCTGCAAGCTGGGTGAAGCGCAGCCGACAGAGCTGCGCAGGAAAGCTGAAGAAAACGTTTAAAATTTCGCTTGAATGACTGATTTTAAATCATGAAAAGTAAATATTTATAATTTTTAATGCATATTCATCAAAATAATTGCTATTAAACCTTATTTTTCTGAAGATTGAATTAAGCGTTTCAGTGCTTCCTAGGGTATCCAGTTGCGGAGGCTGCGGTATTTCCTCTTCTTCTGCATTTGTATAAATTTGTTTGTTTTTTTCATTTTTTTGACTTTAATTAACAAAGTCTATTGATATTCTTTCGAAAACAAATTCAATTTCTACTGTATTCCCTCCTCGTGTCTTCTGCATTTCTTCTCGCAGATAATATGTGCAGCTCCTGCTCCCCCCAAGACGCTTCATACAGATTAAAAGGGTTTTCAACTTTATAGAAATTATAAAGGACTGCATTATATTCTTTTTTTGCTGCAAGTTGAGCAGCAAGGGGTGCTGCTGCTTCGCATGCATGCAGCAGATAGACGATTCCCTTACTGCGACCCCCCTTTTATTCAATATAATCACTAAGAGACACAAAGATGGCGCTCTTCTCAGGAATGTCTATTAGAGGGCCTCAAGCAGACCCCCAGAACAACGCTAGTCAGGGGGCTGTTCCCCAGGCAAAGGGAGTAGACCCATCTGCTGCTGCTGGAGGCCCCTATGCACCCCCTGCAGCAGCAGCAGCAGCAGCAGCAGCGCAGCAGCAGCAGCAGCAGCAGCAGCAGAAGACTCCTGCGGTAGCAGCAACGCAGGAAGGCAATGCCTTCACCAGGGCAGCATCTTCAGCATTTTCTTTTCTCTTCAAAGCCGGAGGAGCAGAGACACCGAACCGCGCTCCTCAGCCCCAAGCAGCAGCCACGCATGCAAGGGCCCCTGGTATGCATGCAGGCTATCGGCCCCCAGAGGGGCCTCCATTCTATGGGGGCCCCTCAGACATATCTCATTCATCGCATGCAGCAGCATTGGGGCCCCCAGATCAGTTCTCTAGGAGCTTACAGCCGCAGCAGCAGCAGCAGCCACAGCAAGTGCAGCAGCAACCCTTTCAGCATCAACTGCAGCCGCAGTTTCAGCAACCCCAGCAGCCAAACCCGCTTCAGCAGCGGCCACTGCAGCAACAGCAGTTACAGCAGCAAGCTCAGCAGCCCTACCCCCCACAGCAGCTGCAGCAGCCGCAGCAGCAGCAGCAGCAGCAGCAGCAGCGGGATTGGGGTAATTCAGTGGGTGCCCCTGTTAGTGGTTTCTATGCCGATGCTTCTGCTGCAGCAGCTGCGCATGGGGGCCCCGAAGACGCTTTAGAGCTGCTGCAGCATGCCCTTCAGCAGGGCCCCAGGGGCCCCCAGGGGGCCCCCTCTGCTGCAGATGCCTTACCAGATAATCTTTTTATGCATTCGGAAGTAAACCCTGCAGCAGCAGGGGCCCCTCTATACACCGGGGGGCCCCACACCTCAATGCCTCTGCCTCAACCCCCAAATATTCAAAGAAAGCCGAAGCGATCAGTCGTTCCAGGCTTTGCGGGATGGCAGCAGCAGCAACTGCAGCAGCAGCAACTGCAGCAGCAGCAACTGCAGCAGCAGCAAATGCAGCAGCAGCAAATGCAGCCCCAGCAAATGCTGCTGCAGCAGCAGCAGATGCAGCTCCCCCTGCAGCAAGACATGCAGCACCTGCCGCGTGAGGCGGAGCATCCATATCACGCTCAGCAAGCAGAGCAGCAGCACCAAATGCAACAGCAACCGCAGCAGCAGCAACCGCAGCAGCAG